ACCTCACCCTTACAACACGGTTATAACACCTCACCCTTACAACACAACACGGTTATAACCACACCCTCACAACACAACACCGTTATAACACCCTCCCTACACAACACGGTTATAACCTCACCCTCACAACACGGTTATAACACCTCACCCCTTCAACACGGTTATAACACCTTACCTCACAACACAACCGTTATAACACCTCACCCTCACAACACAACACGGTTATAACACCTCACCCTCACAAAACGGTTATAACACCTCACCCTCATAACACGGTTCCTCTCACCCTACAACATAACACGGTTATAACACCTCACCTCACAACACGGTTATAACACCTCACCCTCACAACACCGTTATAACATACCCTCACCACAACACGGTTATAACACTTCCCTCACAAAACGGTTATAACACCTCATCCTCACAACACGGTTATAACATCTTCCTCACCACAACAGTTATAACACCTTACCTCACAACACAGGTTACCTCACTCTCACAACACGGTTATAACACCTCACCCTTACAAACAACACGGTTATAACACCTCACCCTCACAACACGGTTATAACCTCACCCTCACAACACCGTTATAACACCTCACCCTCACAACACAACACGGTTATAACACCTCATCTCACAAAACGGTTATAACACCTCATCCTCACAACACGGTTATAACACCTTACACTCACAACACAACACGGTTATAACACTCACCCCTCACAACACGGTTATAATACCTCACCCTCACAACACGGTTATAACACCTTACCCTCACAACACAACACGGTTATAACACCTCACCCTCACAACACAACACGGTTATAACACCTCACCCTCACAACACAACACGGTTATAGCACCTTACCCTCTCAACACAACACGGTTGTAACACCTCACCCTCACAACACGGTTATAACACCTTACCCTCACAACACAACACGGTTATAACACCTCACCCTCACAACACGGTTATAACACCTTACCCTCACAACACAACAAGGGCACAGCACTAGACTCACAAACGCCTACAACACAAAACATATTGGCTATGGACAAGTCATGGTATCTCCAATAAGTTTGCATAGTCTGCAACACAACACAGCAAGGTTACACTAATTGCAACACAGTCCCAATAAACTCATATACAGTACCCTGCAATACCACACAGCAAGGCAACAATGCACGCAACCACCTCCGTCAAAGCTACAGATGCTACAACAAAACAGAGTTTCAACACCTGCCCCACAATTCTATCTGGGCTAAACAACATACAACACAACACGGGAATACTATATCTGTAACAAAACCCCGCAATATTATAACACCTGGAACACGAGAGAAATATGAAAACACCCGCAGAACAACCCTTCTAGTTAACAACACCTGCAACACCATCCAGCAAAATAACAGCTGCAAAACAAATCTGGAAGGCAACAACGCTTGCAATGCAACCCTTGAAAGTAACATCATCTGTAACACAATGTTGCAAGTTTCCAATATCTGCAGCACATCCTTTCAAAACAACAACACTGGCAACACAACCCTGCAAAGTAATAACACCTGTAACACAATGTTGCAAGGTAACACCTGTAGCACAACACCTGCAACTTCCTCCTGTAAGGTAACAACTCCTACAAACAAATTCGTTATAACAACACAACCTTACAAAGTAACACCTGCAAGGTAACAACACGTGCAACACAACACCATCCTGCGCTAAACTTAATATAAACAGAAAACCACCAGATAGTTACAAATTATGTGGAGCGACGTATTAGCATGCCAAGGAAGTGCTATCATATTCTGGACATCTAAAATTAGATGAACTTCAGGAGGAGGCGGAGAGAATATTTTGGAGTGAAGTGAGGAAGGGAGGAGGAAGAGGGAGGGGGCGGAAGGGGGAGGGAAGGAGGAAGTAAAGAGATACAAAAAGGGAAAGAAAGAGAGTAAGCGACAATAGCAATACGGTTAAAGACTGAAGCAGACTTAAAGACTTAAACGAAAAAGTAAATGGCGAGGTTGAGAAAAAGATAGTAAGGCAGATGTGAATAAATGATAATAAAAACAAAGGAGACAGGCTAGTTGGTTAACCAAACCAAAATGTTTTTCTTTTCGCTTTTTTTTCACACACCTTTTCTCTTCTAAAAGATGAAACTTAAGTATATCAGTGTTGGGGTTAATAAGCGTGTGTGTGTGAGATAACAGCGGCGGGAGTTACATCACAAGTCTGGCCCTGCAGGCGACAGCGAGGAGGGTTAGCTTGTCTCAAACTCGGCGGTATTCCCCACAAACACGTTCACTGGGCCTCTGTCTAGTCGTGTCTGTCTGTATGTCTCTTCATCGATCTCTCAATACATGTTTGTGCAGTCTGCTTTTTTTCTGCGGTGATGTCTCTGTCTGTCTGTCTGTCGCCTGGTTTGTCGGGTAACAGTCGTGATTTTAAATCTGTTTATATCTGCCTCACTGAGAGCAAGAAGTGTCAATATTATGTCTTGTTGGTGCCCGTGTGTTTACATCTCAGCTGACGGAGCGAAGCTGAAAATTCAATATATTAAACTACAAGTTCAAGAAAAGGACTATTCGTGAAAACCCTTCCGGAATATTTGTCAGTGTATCAACATAACCGGTAATAATTATGACCTCACCTGATTTCTAATCTCTATCTGAATCTGAACCTTTATGCTCCAAGGAAGAGTTCAAAGTCTTTATATGAACAATGACGCTTCTAAGTAAAAGCTAGTGATGTGACCTATGAAATAATCCCACAGCTCGTGTACTTTGTCTGAGATGTGACACAACAGAAAACTGCACATTATTACATATTATTGTGACTTGATGGAGGTGAGAACCCCAAGGTCTTAAGAGCAGCCCTGAAGCATGTAGACAACGAGGTGTAGTGATGAAGTCTACCTCTAGTGATAACTATACCTAGCTTAGTTGGAGAGAACACAGTAGTCCACAGCTGGAGAGAACGCGATAGTCCACAGCTGGAGAGAACACGATAGTCCACAGCTGGAGAGAACGCGATAGTCCACAGCTGGAGAGAACACGATAGTCCACAGCTGGAGAGAACGCGGTAGTCCACAGCTGGAGAGAACATGATAGTCCACAGCTGGAGAGAACACGGTAGTCCAGCTAGTCACAGCTGGAGAGAACATGATAGTCCACAGCTGGAGAGAGTATGATAGTCCACAGCTGGAGAGAGCATGATAGTCCACAGCTGGAGAGAACGCGATAGTCCACAGCTGGAGAGAACACGATAGTCCACAGCTGGAGAGAACGCGATAGTCCACAGCTGGAGAGAACAAGATAGTCCACAGCTGGAGAGAAAGTCCACAGCTGGAGAGGAGATAGTCCACAGCTGGAGAGAACATGATAGTCCACAGCTGGAGAGAACGTGATAGTCCACAGCTGGAGAGAACACGATAGTCCACAGCTGGAGAGAACGCGGTAGTCCACAGCTGGAGAGAACATAGAGCTAGTCCACAGCTGGAGAGAACACGATAGTCCACAGCTGGAGAACATGATAGTCCACAGCTGGAGAGAACGCGGTAGTCCACAGCTGGAGAGAACACGATAGTCGCAGCTGGAAAGAACACGATAGTCCACAGCTGGAGAGAACGCGTAGTCCACAGCTGAGAGTAGTTCACTGCTAGAGAGAAACGGTAGTCCACAGCTAGAGAGAACATGATAGTCCACAGCTGGAGAGAACATGATAGTCCACAGCTGGAGAGAACACTGTAGTCCACAGGGCTGGAGAGAACGCGGTAGTCCACAGCTGGAGAGATCATGATAGTCCACAGCTAGAGAGAACATGATAGTCCACAGCTGGAGAGAACGCGGTAGTCCACAGCTGGAGAGAACATGATAGTCCACAGCTGGAGAGAACACGGTAGTCCACACCTGGAGAGAACGCTGTAGTCCACAGCTGGAGAGAACATGATAGTCCACAGCTGGAGAGAGCATGATAGTCCACAGCTGGAGAGAACGCGGTAGTCCACAGCTGGAGAGAACATGATAGTCCACAGCTGGAGAGAACGCGGTATTCCACAGGTGGGTTTCCTGTTGTCACCACTGACCGTCACCTGCCCATGGTGTTAAAGTGTTACCCTTCAAGTACTTTGACATATTCTCCACTTTCCCAATAATCACACTACAGGACTATTACTGCAATAACACGTGAAAACTGTCACCATCTGTCATACTAGTTCTGTCACTTGAGTACTGTCACCATATTTTGTCACATCAGTGTTCCCTTACTTTGTAACTTAGTACAGTCACTATCCTATATTATGTATGGTGATGCATTTACACTCGCTTCTGTTCACCAGACAGTGTCCTGCTGTTACTACACCGTCTTCTGAACACCAACACACTGCCTCCTCCAACGCTTTGTCACTGTGGTAGGTGTCGATGCATCATCGAGGGCACCATTTCTTCTTTTACAATGACGAGGATAAAAAAAAAATAGGGAGGTAACCTATTAACCTATACACATACACAGGGAGCTATTTATGAAAAAAAATAGCTCCAATGGAAACCGCCGCGGAGGTCATTTAGCTGACGGAGACAATGTTTCTTATGTTTAGCTTGACTTCAACGGGAATATATTTAGAAAATAATGGAATTTAACTCGGTCGTGTACATTATAAATGGTTTGGTAAAAGAACACCTCGGTTGTGTACAATACAAAAAAAACTCACATAAGAACACCTCGCCATTGTACAATATATAAGTAATCTGATATAAGCTAAAATCATAATCAGTACATTTTTCTCGGTATTTTTTCTTTTTTGCATTTTTCGTGGTTTTAGCGTCGTGAACATCTCTTGGAGGGAGAGTCTGGCGGGCTCGAGGGTGAATCGATCGTCGCTGCCTATGTATTTTGCATCCTGAATCAAACCCTCTGAAGGCCAGACACACTTGGACTTTATTGAGACCATCAAATCCAAAATTTATCTGACCCTTCTTTTTTTTTTCTGTTCCTGCAGGCAGTCGCCGGAGCTTGGGTGGGGAACGGCCCAGAATATGGTGATGAGAAGGCCAGGAGTATGGCAGGAAACGACCCCCAACAACCCCTTCCTGCTGTCTTCCTCCCGCCCCGTACCTCCACACCAAAGGAAGAACAACTTTATCATGGACGGTGTGAATATGTGCTGTATATTCGTTCACATTTCTCTCTTCTTTTAGGTCGCATCATTTGACTGAGTCGATAGCATGGTATAGAGAACTGTCAGGAGTGATCGCATAACTTCTCAATATAATAACAGTATTGGCCTCACTGATCATGCAAGTTTATTGCCTAAAAACACAAACTATCCGATAATGACGAGACTGGAGAAAATAATGCAAATTTTCCCCCATAACGAGGGAATGGATGAGATGAGATATGAACAACCTGTCTTCCTCCTCCTCCTCATCTGCCTCTTCCTCGTTCAGCTCCACCTCCTCCTCCTTCTCCTCCTCATCTACGTCTTCCTTCTCTACCTCCCCTTCCTCCTCCACCTCCTCTTCGTTCTTCCTCCTCCTCCTCCTCCTCCCAATTTTCATATTCATACTTTTTCATTCTTTCTTTAATTATTCTATTAAACCCTTTTCATCTTAGTTCTTCTTTATCCTCCCTTTCTTCTTCCTCCTCCCGTTCCTCTTCCTTCTCCTTTCTTCTTCTTCCTCCTCCTGTTCCTCTTCCTTCTCCTTTCTTCTCTCCTCATTCTCATCTTCTACTTTCTACAGACGACTACGAAGATAACGAGGGCAGTGTCTCCGATGAATTTTGGCTTTCCCAGGCTCGCTTTACCAGCCTGAACCCACACAACCAACAGCACTCTACCTCCCTCAAGGGTCTACAGCATCTACTGGAGGGGCAGGTGAGCTATTTACGTGGAAAGGGAGGAATTGTGGAGGAAGAGTTGCTTGAGAAATAAGGAGGGGTGAAGGTAAGGACGGGGAGGGAACTAAGTGTATGAAGGACGTAGTTAAGGACGGAGAGGGAACTAAGTGTATGGAGGACGTAGTTAAGGACGGGGAGGGAACTAAGTGTATGGAGGACGTAGTTAAGGACGGGGAGGGAATTAAGTGTATAGAGGGCGTAGTTAAGGATGGGGAGGGAACCAAGTGTATGAAGGACGTAGTTAAGGACGGAGAGGGAACTAAGTGTATGGAGGACGTAGTTAAGGACGGGGAGGGAACTAAGTGTATGGAGGACGTAGTTAAGGACGGGGAGGGAACTAAGTGTATGGAGGACGTAGTTAAGGACGGAGGGGTGTATGAAGGACGAAGAGGACGGAGAGGTGTATGGAGGACGTAGTTAGGACGGGGAGGAACTAAGTGTATGGAGGACGTAGTTAAGGACGGGAGGGAACTAAGTGTATGGAGGACGTAGTTAAGGACGGAGAGGGAACCAAGTGTATGGAGGACGTAGTTAAGGACGGAGAGGGAACTAAGTGTATGGAGGACGTAGTTTTGGACCGGGAGGGAACTATGTATGGAGGACGTAGTTATGGATGGAGAGGGAAATAAGTGTATGGAGGACGTAGTTATGGATGGGGAAGGAACAAGGAACTAAGTGTGTGGAGGACGTAGTTAAGGACGGTAGGAACTAAGTGTATGGAGGACGTAGTTAAGGACGGGGAGGGGGGAGGGAATTAAGTGTATGGAGGACGTACTTAAGGACGGGGAGGAACTGTATGGAGGACGTAGTTATGGACGGGGAAAGAATTGCGATTAGTTATGAGTTGAGAACAGGGTACCAGTGACTGTGGAGGAGGAGGAATATAGAAGAAACTACGATAACATGAGGAATGTGAACTATAGAAAGAAAAAAAAAGAATGAGAGTATAAAGAATGGGTGTAGAGGAGTGTTGGGTCAGAGAGGACATTGACACACCTTTGTGTTCTCAGTGGAGATAATAAGACCGAGGTTCTCACAGGCTGCATGTACATGGTTCAAGGGTGGTATGGTGTGGGGTGGTATGGTGCTATAGTGTGATGTGGTGTGCTATGGTGTTGTCTGGTGTTGTAGGTCCATGGTTTGTCGTAGTGTGGTGTAATGTACTCTGGTGTGATATGGTGTGGTGTGGTGTGGTGTGAATTTGAATTTGAATTTTGCCGCCGACAGCAGCTGGTTTATTGTGTTAAGTTGGTACATAAAATGTTGATTATACAGTATACTTGATGCAAAGTATGGATACAGCCTTAGTGTATCATCTATCTTGTCATCAGAGATAAAGTGCTGTGGCATTGCATACAGTGCGCTTGATCTATCCCTATAAGGTTCTATTTTTTCACATTCTAAGACGTAGTGTTGGAGTGTATGGCCGTATGTCTGGCCACACACTTTACATTTAATTTTGTTCACATCTGCCTGAGGGATATACTGCCAGAGGTACTTATAGTATATCTTAACCTTAGTCTCGCGGATACAACATCTTCTAATCTAGTGATCTTGTTACTTGCTCCAAATACATGTTTTACTTGATACATGTCATCATGGTAAGCAATGGATTGACTAGTGCCTATTTGCACTTGTCTACTAGCTTCAAATTCATCAGCAAACTCCTTTCTGATTACAGTTTTTAAGGTTCTGTTTGACAGTCCTAGATTGTACTCAACATTGTCATTGTTGGACGCGAGTTTAGCTGAGGCATCAACTCTATCATGTTCACTAATACCTATGTGAGAGGGGATCCACAACAGCTTGATCCTGATACCTCCGTCAACAAGTTACATACTGTAATACAGTATTACTGTATGCTTGTGTCTGGCTTCAGAGACAATCGGGTGACAATCTGAGTTTAGGGTTTCAAGAGCAAGTAGTGAGGATAAGGAGTCAGTGATGATGAGACTGTCAATAGCAGTGGTCTCTGAGTATGACAAATAGTTCAGTTGTAATGTGGATGACCAGTTACTAATTCTAGCTCCTTTCTCTATTACATTAACTTTTGGCGGAGTCACAATGACAGCACTTCCAGCCCTCTCACACATAGTGTTAAGAGATCCGTTAGTGTAGATGGTCTGTATGATGTTATTTTAGTCTGCAGGTTATGTATGTGGTCAAGAGCTCTCACTTTGGCAGTGTGATGGAGATAAGGATTATGTACGGTCAGTCGTTTAGGCGGGTACGTGGGTGTTGTGATGTTGAAGGAACTGTCCGCCAGGGTGGCAGGAAGCGCTGTTGTGTCTCAGCTTTGTACAGATGGTCTAGTCCAAATATCCTCGTATGTGCAGCTGTAGTTTGGATCCATTTAGATTCACCAGTTTCATGACTCGTATTCTAGCAGTTTCTTAGAAGCAATGTTATCTGCTGTGGTGTGGTGTGCTGTGGTGTGGTGTAGGGTGGTGCAATGTGGTCGGATATGGTGCAGTGTGGTTTGGTGTGGCTTGGTGTGGTGTGGTTTGATGTGGATTGATGTGGTGTGGTTTGGAGTGGTTTGAAGAGGTGTAGTTTGGTGTGGCATGTTGTGGTGCAATGTGGTGTGGTGTGGTATGGTGTATTGTGGTGTCCCGTGCTGTAGTGCTGTGTGGTGTGTTGATGTATTGTGTGGTATGGTGTGATGTAGAATGCTGCAGTGTTTGTTCTATGGTGTAATATGGCGTGGTGCAAAGTGGTGTAGTATGGTGTGGTTCAGTGTGGTGTTGATGCATTGTGGTGTTGTGTGGTGCAGTGCTGTGTGGTGAGATATGGTATGGTGCATTGTGATGTGCTGTGCTGTGGTGCAGTGTGGTGTGTTGATGTGTTGAGTGGTATGGTGTAGTGTGGAGTGGTGCAATGTTCTATGGTGCAATATGGTGTGATGCAGTGAGTGTGTGTGTGGTGTAGTATGGTATGGTGCAGTGTGGTGCGGTGTGGAGTGCTGTACTGTGGTGTGGTGCAATGTAGTGTGGTGAAGTAGGGTGTGCTGCAGTGGCGTGTGGTGTGCTGCAGTGTGTGGTGTGATGCAATGCCGTGTGGTGTAGTGCAGTGCAATGTGGTGTGGCACAGTGCAGTGTGGTGTGGTATAGTGGGGTCTACAGTAGAGTGGTGTAGTGGGGTGTGGGACTGTAGAGTGGGGTGTGGTGCAGTGGGATGTGGTATGGTGCAGTATCCTGTGGTGTAATGTGGAAGAGTGGGATGTGGTATGATGCAGTGTGGCGTCGTGCAGTGGGGTGTACAGTAGTGTGGTGCAGTGGGGTGTAGTGTGGTGCAGTGGGGTGTGGTGTGGTGCAGTGGGGTGTAGTGTGGTGCAGTGGGATGTGGTATGGTGCAGTATCCTGTGGTGTAATGTGGTATGATGCAGTGTGGCGTCGTGCAGTGGGGTGGGTGTAGTGTGGTGCAGTGGGGTGTAGTGTGGTGCAGTGGGGTGTGGTGTGGTGCAGTGGGGTGTAGTGTGGAGTAGTGGGGTGTGGTGTGGTGCAGTGGGGTGTGGTGTGGAATATAATTTTGCCACGGACAGCAGCTAGTTTATTGTGCACCCTATACTCATCCTGTGAGCGGTAGCGCAAAAAGGATTACGAAGTAGAGGCCATAGAGGACGTTTATCGGACCCCAGTGATTTTTATATTAGGACAATGAATGTTACAGAATATTTCCAGTACATTGTTTTTTTGTTGTTGTTATTTTAAGTCGGTAAATACAATTTTGCTTAGTTACGAAATGCGAAGTGTGGATACAGCCTTAGTATACATCAGCCTTCCTGTCATCGAAGATAAAGTGCTGTGTCGCTGCATACACAGTGAGCTTGGATCTATCCCTACAAGATTCCATTTTTCACAGTCCAAGACGTGGTGCAGTGAGGTGTGGTGTGGTGCAGTGGGGTGTGGTGCAGTGAGGTGTGGTGTGGAGTAGTGAGGTGTGGTGTGGTGCAGTGGTGTGGTGTGGTGCAGTGGGGTGTGGTGCAGTGAGGTGTGGTGTGGAGTAGTGAGGTGTGGTGTGGTGCAGTGAGGGTGTGGTGTGGTGCAGTGTGGTGTGGTGCAGTGAGGTATGGTTTGGTGTAGTAGAGTGTGGTGTGGTGCAGTGAGGTGTGGTGTGGTGCAGTGTGGTGTGGTGCAGTGAGGTATGGTTTGGTGTAGTAGAGTGTGGTGTGGTGCAGTGGGGTGTGGTGTGGTGCAGTGGGGTGTGATAGGTGTAGTTTGGTGTGGTGCAGTGAGGTGTGGTGTGGAGTAGTGAGGTGTGGTGTGGTGCAGTGTGGTGTGGTGCAGTGAGGTATGGTTTGGTGCAGTGTGGTGTGGTGCAGTGAGGTATGGTTTGGTGTAGTAAGTGTGGTGTGGTGCAGTGGGGTGTGGTGTGGTGCAGTGAGGTGTGGTGAGGTGCAGTGAGGGTGTGGTGTGGTGCAGTGGGGTGTGGTGCAGTGAGGTGTGGTTTGGTGTAGTAGAGTGTGGTGTGGTGCAGTGAGGGTGTGGTGTGGTGCAGTGGGGTGTGGTGCAGTGAGGTATGGTTTGGTGTAGTAGAGTGTGGTGTGGTGCAGTGAGGTGTGGTGTGGTGCAGTGGGGTGTGGTGCAGTGAGGTGTGGTTTGGTGTAGTAGAGTGAGGTGTGGTGCAGTGAGGTGTGGTGTGGTGCAGTGGGGTGTGGTGCAGTGAGGTGTGGTGTGGAGTAGTGAGGTGTGGTGTGGTGCAGTGTGGTGTGGTGCAGTGAGGTATGGTTTGGTGCAGTGTGGTGTGGTGCAGTGAGGTATGGTTTGGTGTAGTAGAGTGTGGTGTGGTGCAGTGGGGTGTGGTGTGGTGCAGTGAGGTGTGGTGTGGTGCAGTGGGGTGTGGTGCAGTGAGGTGTGGTGTGGAGTAGTGAGGTGTGGTGTGGTGCAGTGAGGTGTGGTGGTGCAGTGCAGTGGGTGTGAGTGAGTGAGGTGTGGTTTGGTGTAGTAGAGTGTGGTGTGGTGCAGTGAGGTGTGGTGT